ATTCTTTTTATGTTTTTTAAGTATTTATTTACGTAAGTCATCTCTACACCCAACGTGGGGCTCAAACTCACAACCCGGAGATCAAGAGTCACATGCTCCTCCGACTGAGCCAGCCGAGGGTCCCTGGTAACTTCTTCTAAATGAGAGCACTCAAGATTTTCCTTGCCTTGAGAGATACACTAGGCAACCTGAGGTGCCCATTAGTGCCCCAGTTCCCTTCAGGGTGGACACCTCTGGACCGGCCAGCTTGTCAGGATTCCCAGGGAAGGTCAGTCCCTTCTCTCTGGCCTCTTCCACCTCCCAGCCCTTCCTAGAATCCAGAAACAGAGAAATTACTCTCCTTCATCCTTCTCTCTGCTCTGGGGTTCCACTTTTTCAATTCTTTCACAGTTGTTCTAATGGAATCTCAGGTCAGAGGTGCAGGTAACAAGAGTGCCCCGGCTGCCATCTGACCAGTCCTCACAGAAGGGCCTCACTGCACTGACTGACACCGGCTCTATGAGGAGCCTAAGCAGTAGTAAAAAGCTGGGCACTCGACAACAGTGCCTAAGGAGCAGGTCTGTCTCTGTAAAAAAGACAGGAAATTCCCAACACCTGTTAAAAAACCAAAAACAACAACAACAAAAAACCTCTTCCAAATAGCTGGGGCCTCCTCTTGGAGTTAGGGATTTAGGACGAGCTTGGTCAAAGGAAATGGACTGCTGTTGTTAAGATCCAGAGTGTGGGCTGCAGTGAGGCAGAGGCTAAGAAGGTGAGGGGGCTGTTGTGCTGCCAGGTACCCCCTTTGGGACGGAAAGCTTATTCCTCAGATGATCAGAGAATATCTGTGACAGCCAATCTCCAAGAGGGCCACCAACAATCCCTGGCTTCCCTGTACAAACAGGCCACTGCTCACTTCAAAAGACAGAGGCAATTCCCACTGCCCTGAATTGGCACTGGCCTCAGGATCTCCTGTATCTGAGTGAGGTTCTAGGACTTGTGAGGACTGGCAGCTTCTACTTCCTCCTCCTCAGAAGCTAGCTGCCACATAGTAAGGAAGTCCAGGCCATACTGCTGGAGACACCATGTGGAGGCCATGTCAGGAAAACCAATGTGCAGATAATGTGAGTAAAGCCTTTATGGACCTTCCAGGTCAGCACAGCTGCCTGCTGAATACAGCTGTATGAGAGGTCACACAGGAGACCAGCAGAATGGTCAGCCAGGCAATTTCCAATTGCCCTGACTGCTGACCCACAGAATCAGGAGAAATAACTCACTGCTTAGATCATTAAGCTTTTGGGTAGTTCCTTATCAAACAATAGATAACAAACAATACTGAACCAACAAGTTCTGCATTTCAAAAGCTGAAATAGTTCAACAAGCCCTAATCAATATCTTTTAATGCTAAGAAAATACAAACAAGACCAGTAATAACACCCCATCCCCCCAAATATTTGCAAATTCTACATCTAATAAGAAACTTAGATCCAAAATACATAAAAACTCTAACAATCAATTAAAAAAAACAGAAGTCAATTTTAAAATGGGCAAAGGATGGGGCACCTGGGTGGCTCAAACAGTTAAGCATCCGACTTTGACTCAGGTCATGATCTCACGGTTTGTGAATTCGAGCCCCACGTTGGGCTCTGTGCTGACAGCTCAGAGCCTGGAGCCTGCTTCGGATTCTGTGTCTCCTCCTCTCTCTGCCCCTCCTGTGCTCATGTTCTCTCTCTCTCTCTCAATAATAAATAAATGTTAAAAAAAAAAATTTTTTTTTTATTTAAAAAAAAATTTTTTTAACATTTATTTATTTTTGAGACAGGGAGAGAGCATGAACAGGGAGGGTCAGAGAAAGAGGGAGACATAGAATCCGAAACAGGCTCCAGGCTCTGAGCTGTCAGCACAGAGCCCGATGCGGGCCTCGAACCCACAGACTGTGAGATCATGACCTGAGCCGAAGTCGGACGCTTAACCGACTGAGCCACCCAGGCACCCCAAAAAAAATTTTTTTAAATTGGGGCGCCTGGGTGGCTCAGTCGGTTAAGCGTCCGACTTCGGCTGAGGTCATGATCTCACAGT